TGCTAACAGAACCTCACTGCTAACAGAACCACACTGCTAACAGAACCACACTGCTAACGGGACTATGGTGTTAAGAGAACCTCACTGCCAACAGAACCATTTGGCTAATAGGACCATGCTGCTGAAGATGAATTTCACTTTTTCCACTTTTGACGCTTGTTTTTATATTTTTGTTGCATGCTTTGGTAGTTTGTTGTTTTGTTCGTTTGTTTGTTTGTTTTGGCAAGTCGAGACGGTTCTTCTCGTCCTGAGCATTTCATTGCATTGTTGACCTTGTGTTGATTTGCATATGACAAATCAAACCTAGTCTTATAAAAAGCAGCTCAAGAAGCAATGTGAGCTTTTACCAGATGAATCTTTGTTCAAATGAAATGTCGGAGACTAAAATTTGAGCAAAGAGACCTAGAATACATCCCACAGCTAATGTAAAGTGAGCAAGACAGCCAGCACTGATTAGGACAAAAATAAAATCACAGAACATAAAATATCTCGTGTTAATGTCAGCAATCACCGTCTCCATCATTCAACGCTTCGGTTTGATCCTGTGAGAACAGACCTTGTTGTGAGTGTGAAGAAGTGCTGTGGTTGCAGTGCTCTCCTCCGTTGGCGTGGACCGAGTTCCACAGACCTGACAATTTGTGGGCTGACAGGAAGGAACTCGGGTCCCAGTCCACGGCGCTTTGTTCCGGGTAACCATTCCCACAGCTTTGGGACTTACAGGAGGAAGAATGTGACAATGGTACCTGAGTTTAAAGGGAAACGAAAAAGAAGAAGAGGAAAAAAAGCAATTAGCGGCTCATCTGGTGGTTTTATATGCTTGTATCTTGGCATCAGGAGTACAAATCAAGCAAGTTGAGGCAAAACTTCTAAGAAATGCATTCGCTCATTTGAAATGAGAGAAACAAAATATTAAAGAAACAAATAGACAATAATTACAAGGCAATGATGAACAACTCTGCCTTCTGTTTTCTTTTTGATTTTTACCGTTGAACCAAAAATATATTTTGAGCACAACGCCCCATGCTCATTTAAATATGCAGCATTTCTACATGCAGCACTGATATAAAATCAAGAAAGCAAACGCGAGCTCTGTTTCTGCCTTATGCAGCAGAAACAACTTCAACTTGCATCTATCTGTACGTACGGAAACAAAGACCAGTTTAGTAAGCCCCACAGCCAAAAACAGTTTATTCCAATAGAAGTTATGACCCAAATTGATCTCTTTGTATCTACCGATGTGGGCTGCTCCTGCGTGCTCCGCCTCTCCTCCTCTTCCACACTCTTACAGCAGCTCTGACAGATCCACAGAGGCACCTCTCCGAGCAGAGACTGAGACAGCGAGGGCACGGCGTCAGCCAGCTTTCGCCCCGGCGCCTCCCGCAGTAAGGCCTGGGAGAGCGCAGGCACGGCGTCGGCCAGCTTCGTCCCGTGGCCCACGGGGAGGCCGTTTACAGAGCCTGCTCCCCAGTCCTTGAATTCTCGGTGGCACAGGAGGCAGCAGGTGTGCATGGGCTAGACAGAGAAAAAGAATATTACAATTAAAGCCGAGATCTGTAATTCTGCTGGTTTACAAACAGAAGAGGAATAAAAGTGGTAGCCTCTCCTTTTTCGAGCAGCTTGAAGCCAGTGTTTGGGATTTGGGTCGGCATGCAAATCTATTAAAAGGATCTGTTTGCTTATCTACAAGACAAGAGATCCGCCTTTAGAGTCATCAAATCTAAACTTCCCTTTCGCCCACTCTTCACTTTGACAACCATTCAGCACGGTTTTATGTTTGTGGGAGTGCACCGTTTCCATTTTCCATGATTTCAAATATCAAGTGCAGGCTTGCAAAGTCAATGCAAACAGCGTTTGTCGGAAAAATGAGATAGAAACGCGTCAAGCGTAATTTTTAAACGGTTATAAACATCGATTTGAATGCCGCAAAGTGAAGCAAACAACGCGGCATCCGCACACTTCATCTGCTTGTTTGCAGCGGTGTTTACAAAAGATGACTGGCTGCAATAATAAAAGGAGAGAAAAATAATAACCCTAAGGTATTATACACGAGCCAAATCTATGTTAATCACATTGCCTAATATCACAAGTTAGTCTTAAGGAGTACTGCAGTCTGTAGGGGCTTTATAGTTGACCATAACTGACGATTAGTCAAGAAAACAACACAAACTGGTAAAAAAAACAAATGCAGACATATTTAAAGTCTTGGACGCTTTGCCTTGGATTACCCGTCAACGTTAATTCCATGCAAGTGCACTGAGAAGTGGAAAACAGATAAGATGTGGAAGAAATGCAGCCACATGATATTGGCATGATATTGGCATGATATAATCCTTGTATCCACCCTCAGCTACCTCAGGAAGGCCATACACAGGTGCAATAATGTCAAACACACAGCACAGACATCTGAGATTACACAGATAAAAATGTAAACATGAGCAACTGAAAATAAGCATAGACACTAACTGCAATCCAGATTATGCCTTCCACATGCAAACTGATAAAAATGGCCTTTTTTTTTTAATTTACTGCAAATTGTAAATAATTTATTTAACCTACAGTCACTCTCAGGCTCTAGGTGTCAGATTAACTGTTTGCTGAGAGAAGAAGAGGAGAAAAAAAGTGGGATTATTAACATAAACTTGGATTTTGTACCACCGCCTCAGATTATTAGCTGGCATGCGTTGAAACTTTTTTTTTTTTTTTTTTTTTTGACATTAGCTCCTGTTGTGCTCCAGAAAATGCAGCGAAGTCGAGTGAAATATTACAGTAAAACGACGCAATGAATCAGTCAACTAAATTTCTAAAATAATAACCTGGTTTTGTTTTTAGCAGCAAAAAAAAAAAGAGCTGTTTTAGCCGCAAGCCAGACTGGGATGAAGCACGTTTGCAGCACGCTAGCTTCCTGGTGGCTAACGCTGCTAGCTGGGCGGGTTGAGAGTTGAACAGGCTGGAAACAGGACGACCTGTCCGAGACACAATGTCACCTGTCCGGGGAGGAGATGGGCTGCAGAGCCCGCACACTCTGCTCGCCGAGTCCAGCGTTATTATTCATTTAACTGCTCACCAAACGCCGCCAAGCTCCACCATCCATCCGCGACAAGTCTCCGACATAGCTTTCTACTAAGCGAGCATTTATTTATTGCACCTTCGGTTTTTGTTTTGGTTATGCAAAATGAAGGCACGACGCTGGGATTAGCAGACTGGCGCCCAAACGTGGAGGGAACTATCCCGTTTCAAACGGAGCGATCGGTTTGCTTTTAGCTACCTGGTTCGCCCTGGTGTTGGCCAGCCTGTCCAGCTCAGCATCTCCGCCGTCGCCGCCAGCTGCATCGCCGGGAGAGACGGGGCTCTTCGCGGCGCTCTGCTGTCCGAGCACCAGCTCCTTCTGGACGGCCGCTTGCTGCTTGCTTTTCTTCCTCGCCATCACGTCGGTGCTTGCGGTACGCTTCGGCCAAGTTTGCACCAGTTTCGAGGGTTCGACGAGCACACTTTCGTTTCTTCTCGGACCCGAAAATGTTCTTTATCTCCTCCAGTGAAGACAACAGTCAATATGGCGGAGGACTGGCACACTCGGAGGTTCAGAGGTTAAAGATACTATTGGCAGCGAGGCTTCACTCTGCTGCGGAGAACTCCGTTACAGCGTCATTCAGGAAGTGAAGCCGCGCTCCGCCATCTTTGTTGAGGGCAAGACCTCCACTCTCGGTTTTCCTCTATTTCTTGTGTAAAAATACTATTTTAAACCAACAACCACGATTATTTTTTTTACTGTACTGCTTCGTCATTGGACATGTTCTTTTATTATCACAGTGCTGTAATGCTATGAATAATAAAATAAGATAAAGGTTATAAGTGTAGAACCACTAGACTGAGGAACAGCTTCTACCCTGAAACTGTTAGACTCATAAATCCCTAACCAGGATTATCACTGTGAAAAAAAAAATCACTGTAATGCAACTTTGACTGGTGACATGTGCTGCTGATTATCCGTGCTGCTGATTATTTCATGCTGCTGTATTCATTCATTCGTACCCATCCACCCACAAAGACTCATGTTCGTGCTGCTGTTGTTCGGTGTATTGTTTTGCACTATCAGTGATTAGCGTATATCTTAGATCTTTTAGCGTACCGTTTGGAGTTCATTTAGCATATATCTTAGTTTATTATTTGCTGTTTCTTTTTACACTTTATATTTTTGCTATTATTGGATGTAATTGGGACCCTGTGTACACAATTTTGTTCCATTGCATGTGATGTGAATGACAGTAAAGAACCTTGAACCTTAAAGAACAGCTTTAAAAGCTAAACTATACGCTTCTTCAATTTAGTTAAGTTTCTAATATGTCATATTGCATAAAAATATGTGCATTATCTCTGTTTAACTTTAATAAATGTTGGGATATGCAGTGTTTGGACCAAATACTTCATACAAAAAAGGTGTGCACACTTTAAAAATAACTATTTAAACAAAATAGTTACAAAGACATTTACAAACTGGTACAAAATATATATTTTTTCAGTCAACCTTTATTTAGACAGGTTAATCCCATTGAGCCTCGGGGACTCATTAACAAGAGAGATGTGAATTTTAACTAAGAGTGATGACAACAGTGGGCAACGACAACAATAGATAATCATAAAAGATGCGTACAATTTTATTTATTTATTTTTAACAAGTGAAAACAAAATGGTAATTAAAAGGAAAAGTAGCGAAAAAAACAGCTAGATTATAAGGCGGTGTAGAAAACTAAAAACAGGAACATGTCTGCGTTGGTTTTTGCCAGGAACTTTACAGATGTTTAAGCCACCAGAGAGGTCAAGGTCGAGAGCTTCAGATATTTTTACAAGATATCTGGAAAATATCAGTAATAACATCAGTTACAGCTTTTTAGTTCAGATTTTTTTAAATGGGGGGTATGTGGAAAGTTTTTGAACTCTTAATATCTTAGCTGTTGTGGATATCGCTTTGACTGAACACAGTTTGGAGAAATGGATTTTAATTACAATCAGATTAATGAGTTAATGCCTAGTTCAATCAGATCCAAAACCAAAGTGGATTGCTGTTGTTTTAAAACAACTTCAATCTCAATAAATTTACAATCCATACATATTCTGTTATAAATCTATACATTGTTGGTGTAGTGGACTAGGCCTGATGTCAAAACTTGACCTTAAGAACCTTGTGGGACAGAAACTGTAATTTCATTGATTTGAATCCAGAAATACAGGTTCACCCATCCTGAGACTTTCTTTCTTGAAAATTCAAGTGAAAGAACACTCTCTTTTCTATTATCATTACTGTTTTACAAATGTTTGATAATCAAAGTGTTTTAGTTCAAACATTTTAGATGTTACAGTGAACTAATCAATTTTTATTAACTGTGAAAACAGTAACAATGATTTTTTAATCCTCATGCAAAGTTAGAATTCATGTTAAGGCCTGTTACAGAGTAATTATGCATTTTCTGATTTTCTGTCTTTGAATGAGCAGTGTACGTTTGTTCCAAGGTCAGGAGTCGAAGCAGACAAGTGTTGGAACAACTGTCTTGTTTTTAAATCCTCTCAGACATAAACAGAGAAGTTGGCACCTGTTTCTCCAAACTCGCCCAAACATTTCTCTCGCCTGTCTGGGGAACATTTTCAATCTGTTCCATAACATTCTTGCTGTTTTCTGACTTCTAGTAACCTTTTACGTCACAAACCACACCCCTGTCTGGTCGACATTGACCAATCAGGGACTCCCAAATGAACCGGAAATAGAGCCCTTCAAAATTTCGGTACTTCCTAGTTCTCTCAGATCGTTTCTGTGAGTTGCCGTTGGAGTCGGGCTGGAGAGTTTGCAGCTCCAGTCGTTTGGGAGAACAGAAGTCCAGCCATGATAAGGCTCTTCCGAGATTGGGATTATAACATCTTCCACCTCTGAGTGGAACTCGGACGAACCCCACTCATGTGAGGTCCACTGGCTGAGGTGAACTTGTGTCAGACGGAATATCGTCACTACTTCAGGACGAGTCACAGCCATCCTATGGAGACGCTGGACAGGTAGCGTTAACTGGAACTCCGTATCTGCTGATTCATCTTCAGAGAGGTAACGAGTCAAGTTCACTACCGAGCGTACCGAGGAAAGCTGGGTTCGAATGGAGAGTGTCGTTTCTGGTCAACACTCTCCCTCACACACCATCTTTTACTCCCTTTAAACTTCATTTTCCATCTTTAAATTCTTCTATCAAGTAGAAATCATTCCAGATAATTTTAGAAATGTCTGTGTAAAGTGCTCATCCACCGCCGTGTGGATAATTGATCATAATTGTACAGCTTGCTGATTAATTATGTTGTTATTTTCATATTTTGCCAAATTAATGTAAATGTTTGATGTTAAACTTTGATTCTGTAAATAAATGACCACATTCATTTTGATGGGTCAAAGATAAATAACGTCTCACGTTACATTTTACTAAATTCAATGCACATTTATATTCAGTCCAGAAAAATGAAAGAATCCGTTTTAATCAGGTGAATATCTCAGGATATGTTCATCTACATTGGTAATTTTGCATGTGGTTAGTTACATGTTGTTCTTTTGCAAGGGGTTGCCACAGCGAGCAAACTCTCATGAGAGATTTGGCAATTGTTTTACACTAGATGCTCCTCTTGATGCAACCTGGGCTCAAACCTACGGCCTCAGGATTGCAAGACCACAGCACTGACCACTGAGCCACTGCAAATGACCACTGAGTTGATGCAAAGAGAATAACCTTCATATCAATGTGAAGAAGACAAAGGAGATGATCGTGGACTTCACAAGAAACAAACACACCTACACCCCCTGAACATAGGAGGATCTGCAGTGGAAGTGGTCTCCAGCTACAAGTACTTGGGTGTACACATGAATGACAACCTCAGCTGGAGCAACAACACCACCAGCCTGATCAAGAAAGCTCATCAGAGACTCCACTTCCTCAGGCGGCTGAGACGAGCTGGTCTGGGAAGCTCAGTCCTCACCTCCTTCTACAGGTGTGCAGTGGAGAGTATCCTGTGCTCCAGCATCAACGTGTGGCATGGAGGCTGCACAGCTGCAGAAAGAAAAGCTTTGCAGAGAGTGGTGAAGGCTGCACAGAAGATGTTGGAGTCAGTCTCCTCACCATCACAGACATCTACACCTCCAGATGCAGGAAGAGGGCCACCTGCATCATGAAGGACCCCACTCACCCAGCACACACACCTTTTTGCCCCGCTCCCCTCAAGAAGGAGGTTAAGGAGCATTAAGTGTAGAACCACTAGACTGAGGAACAGCTTCTACCCTGAGGCTGTTAGACTCATGAATCTCTAACTAGAATAATCACTGTGAAAAACCACATCATGTTGCTGCTGATCTGTTTCATGTTGTTGCTGATCTGTTTCAATGTTGCTGCTGATCTGTTTCATGTTGCTGTGTTCATGCGTGCTCATCTGCTCACACAGACTCATGTTCATGCTGCTGTTCAACGTAATGTTTTATGCTATCAGTGCTTAGTGTATATTTAGTTGATGTTTTTCTTAGTTCATATCTTAGATCTTATTACAGTTTTTCTTTTACATTTTATTGTTGGATGTAACTGGGACCCTGTGTACATAATTTCGTTCCACCACATGTACCACATGGGGTGCAAATGACAAATAAAGAACATTGACTCTTTGAATCCTTGAAATATGGTTATTTACATGTACATCTATTATTATTTGTGAACACAAGTCACAGCAGAAGCAGCTAGCTGTACCACTTCCAACAAAGATGTCATAATATTTCTGCCAGAATGAGTGTGTAATGTCAAACTGACAGCAGTGCAAACGTTTATAAAATAGCATTGCTGTGAACTGTTAAATATAATTAAATTGTATTAATGCAAGACAGCAGCAACTAAACTAGTTTGGTCTAGGCTCAGACCAGACACTATTTCTTTAGTCCAGTCATGGTTTAAAATACGTTCCTCCAAACTGAGGACATCCAAACACTATCTACAACAGGTAAGATGTTGTTGCTCACAACTTTGCCACAGATCCCCACTTTAGTAAATGCTAAAGGTAGCTGACAAAACAATGAAATTAGTTTTTTTATACAAACATTTTTAGGTGTGGTTGTTGAATATATTGTTTTTAAGCAGATTTTTTTTTTATATACTTTTCAGGCAGTATTTTGGTTGATGCTTTGATGTTGTTATCATACAATCAAAAAATAAATATGCAATCTTTATGGATGCAAGTGGTGGAATACTTAACACCACTCAAAATAGAATAAAAAACAAGTCTATCATGTACTTTTTTTTTTTAAAGAAATGTGATTTGTTTAATGTTTAATATGTATTTGAATCCAGATTTTTATCAGGTTAGAAATTATGTTTGTATGCGAATGATTGGTTTAACAAATTTAGTATGTTGCTTTAGATACGCTATAGTTGAATCTCAAGTTAAAAAGACAAAAATGATCATAAAAACGTGTAAAAATAAACATTTCTTGAAACTGACTGAATAAAGCAGGCAGGGGAGTGGCTGTAGGCTTGACAATGACGTTTTACGTTTTATTTTGATTCCTTCAAATGCTATCGGAAATATCGTCATGAAGCCAAAACACATTAAACTTTAAATAAAAATTAAGAAGTTAAAGCAAAATCCAAACGGTAAAAGTAAAATAATAGCTAACAACAGATGTTTGCGTTTCTGCACCATGTGATTAATCTATTTTTTACTTTACATTCCTCAATGCACCGGATTCTAATACGCTGCGTTATATAAAGAGGCAAAAATATCCGAGGCTACGTGCTGTACGTGAACGCATCACTATTGTTAGTTCTGTGCACTGAAAACTACTCGCTCGCGCAAAGGAACTGCTCGATTCTCTGCTCTAGGCTGCTGATGCTCATTCCACTGTTTGTTTACCTTCAGTCGTTCTCCAACAAAAAAAATAATTAAGAGTTATAAACAATTTAAACAATGGAAGCTAATGTTTGCAACATCCAGGTGCTTCTGCGAGCAGCTGAGTTTCTGGAGAGAAGAGAGAGAGGTCAGTAAATTTTACGTCAACTGTCAGCTTGTCGGCGGCAGTTGAGGGTTTAACAAAAACAAGCTGCATCCTGAAGCCACCGTAACAAACACCCGGGTTAATAAAGCATAGACACAGTTGTTTTCAGATTTATGAGCTTTATCTTTTGTGGGGTGAGCGCTTACTCTTTTCTATTGTTGCCGTGTTTGACTCGGTGACCTACATTTTGGTCGCATCTTTGTACGTGAAGGCGCCAATCCGAGGCGGTTTGAAAATGAACCCGGTGTGAGTGGTTTAATGCAAGACGAGCTTTTTACTGACGAACTACACAGCAGACCGTCTGCACGGACACCGAGTTGGCTTTTTTTTAAAACCTCTTTTGTTTGTTTATGTAGCAAACGCTGCACACCAGTTTAAAAATAGCGAGTGGGCGATGGCGCCAAAAAAACAACAACAATAAAGTCGCCGTCCAGCTGATGACAGCTGAGACTGTTTTCATCCTCGGTTCTCTTCAACACACAACTTACACTCCAGATCTTAAAGTTGAGTTTGCACTTTTAAGGTTTAAACGCGTTGATGGTAAGAAACCTTCACGTTTCGCAGAGATGCAGCCTGACAGCTGTGTTTGCTCCTCCTGCAGAAGCAGAACATGGCTATGCTTCAGTCCTGCCTTTCAGTCCAGGCACCTCGGACAAGAGGAGCAAACAGAAGAACAAGAAGATGTCAGCTGGTGGCAGTAGGTGAGGACATTATGTAACAGAGAAACTGACCACGGGGTGTGTTTGTTGTTGATGAAGCACCCTCTGCCTCAGCTGCTGCCTCCGCTCTTGAACTTTTCATATTTCCAATGGTGACCCAAGTGTGTTTTTGTTTTTCCTGCAGGTCGGTCCACAACGAGCTGGAGAAAAACAGGTAAATGACTTTTTCCTAGCTTTGATATAGAGGCGGACCCATGTGAGGTTTTCTGCGTGAATGCTGATCTTTAGAAATTACTGGTATATGGCGGCGATTTATTTTTATTTTTTTGGGCCAACATACAAAAGATTAGTGTAACTCCATCCATTCATATTTTTTTTAACTCTCTTCTTTCCGGGTCGTGGAGAGCTGGCGCCTATCTCCAGCAGTCGCTGTGCAAGAGGCGGCTACGACCTGGACAGGTCGCAAGTCAGTCACATAAGATGAGATAGAACTTTATTGATCCTGCGGGAAATTGTTGTGCCAGAGTTTCAATGCAAGATATACAAAAAAAATAACGGATAATTAAAAAAAAGAAACGCAGAGATAAACGAGCATTCTCACCCACACCTAGAGGCAATTTAGAGTTCCCAGCGAACTCTAACATGCATATTTGTACACCCGGAGAAAACCTACACATGCAAGGGGAGAACATGCCCAGAAAGGCCGTGGGGCAGTCTTACAACCTTCTTGCTGAGAGGCCACAGCTCTAACCACTGCACCACCCCTAATGTGTACACTTAAATTAACATACACTTAACACTTTTGCACCGAAAATATATATATTTATGGCAGCCATCTTTAATTGAATCACAAAACGACAAAGTCTAGATGTCCACTCAATGATAACGTTCTCAGTGGTCCATGAGATATTTTGCTAACAAACCAGGTTAACAGTTGTGGTGTTGGTTGTGAGTGGCTCTCAGCTGCGACTACACCAAGTTTTAGCACACGTTCTGTAAAATGACCATGAAAGAATTAGTAATCCGTCTAGGAAAAGCCCTGTGGGGGTCAGACAACAGCTTCGTGTGTTAGCGCTGCCTCAGTCATGCTAGCAGCGTGTTAAAATAAAACAATGGCTGGATTTAATTCTTATTTGTACGTTTTAACGACTCTTAGTGTTCAAAAGTCATAGTTGATTTCTTGCGTATAAGACACTCTTCTCATGTGAAATAAATTCTAGGTGACAGTGAGCTGGTTGTAGCAGCTGCTGTTGCATCTTCATTTTACTACTTGCTAAAGAAGGCATGACTGGTATCCAACATGTGGCCAACACTGGGTCCAGCTCTACAAGAAACTATGAGATGCTGATATCAGGGCATTCATTTTCATCTTTGGTTTGTTCTGCCGTGTAGACGAGCTCAGCTGAGGCACTACCTGGAGCAGCTGAAGAAGCAGGTTCCTCTGTCGTCGGACTCTGTGAGGAACACCACCCTGAACCTGCTGAGGGAGGCTCAGCTTCACATAAAGGTACGCCTCCACGTTCAAGAGCTTCGGTTTTCGGCGCGCACGTCGCTCGCTCACTCGCTGTCTGTCTCCCGTTTTTTTTTTTTCCTCTCGGCTTCAGAAGCTGCAGCAGCAGGACGAACGAGCGGAGCGGCTGAAGGATCGCCTTCGCTGGGAGCAGAGAGAGCTGCGGGTTCGGCTGGAGCAGCTGCAGAGAGGCACGGAGAGGATGAGGAACAACAGCCACGGCTCCACCATGTCCTCCGAGAGGTCGGACTCCGACAGAGGTGGGTGGGGAGGGGTTTGCAACACGGTTGGATGGAAATTAAAAGTCCTTGATTAGGCAAGATCTGTGTGAACTTTTGTTTTTCTGTATGTTTTGCAATCAAACTACTTCCTCATACTTTGTGCTGTTTTTTTTACCTTTTTTATAAATTCAAATGGGAACAACTTGTGAAGTATTTTAGTATTTGTACCTACTATTCTTTATGTGATGGGGCGACTTTGGCGCAGGGCTAGGACAGTCGTCTTGGCCACGTGTCCTTGAGAAAGACGCCTAATCCCCAATTGCTCTCCAGGCACTTCAATATGGCTGCCCGCTGCTCATCATGTGTGTGATGGGTTAATTGCAGAGGACAAATTTTATTGTTTTGTGTGCATGCAATGATGACGACACAAATCGCTCCATTTATTTAACTTTATTTACACAAAAAAATGTCCCCATGCAAATGCACTGAGATCTCCTCTTATTGCTGCTTTATGCTCATTTTAGCTTTTAGCTATGGTTTTGCTCTGGTTGGTTTCATTTTCCTAATTCGGTTCAAATGTGATCTTCAGTGCAGCTCAGCGCTTTCTGTTTTCTCTAGTTTGTGTTCCATGTTGGGGGGGGGGCCTTAAATGTGTAATGAAGCGCGAGTTTTCACCTGAAAACGTGATTTTTGTCCTGCTCTCTGTAGACGAGTCTGACGTGTGGCTGTTTGTCTTGCAGAGGACGTGGAGGTTGACGTGGAAAGCATCGTGTTTGACTGCGTGGACTTGGACGGCCTGAATATTGCACACAGTGACGCAGACCACTCGTACTCCAGCGTGGACAGGGCCTGGCTATGACCGCGAGTAAAAAAAAATAAATAAATTAAGTGTCTGCCAGGAGCGGGGAAGAAGAGAAAACATTCCAAAAAAGAAAAATAAATGAATAAAACAGGATGACGAAGATGTGACCATAAAACTGAACTTTTTACTTTTATTCTTTTTTTTTTTAAATATGAGACTTTTCGTCATCTTTTCAAAATGGGTACACGCTAATTACAAGTGTCCATTTGCACTGAACTGGGATGGATGTTACATCATATAAGCTTCTTTTTTTTTTTCTCTCATCGTATGATTTTTACTCAAAGCCATGAAGTGTTCATTCTTCATTAGATGCTTCAAGAGCAAAATAAGTGCTTTTATACAAAACTCACCTTATCTCGTATGTTTGTGCTGAATTCTGCCTTAAACCAGATTTAATCCACACAACTCTTCATTCAGCACTGTTTATACTTCCACATGTTGCATGCACTTCATTATTCTGCTCTATCTTGTTGTATTATTGTCATATTATTCATGTTCTGTCTCATATTTAACTTATTTTTTTTGTCTGTTGCCCATGATGTCCACTCATTGCACTCGTTAAAGGAAACGACAATAAACGGGTCACAATTACACATTGATGTTTGATATTTAGGTAATGCTGCCAAAAATATGAAATAAAGGAACGCCCACCGTTCAGCCTTTAGCTACATGGAGCTGGAATAAAATGTGAGGTTGTAAGAGCATTAAAGTTTGTTTAACTGATTATTGTTTCTGATGTTTGCTAATAAGTGTTCAAAATGGTAATTATGCACACAATACATTCACCAGTCAGCCAGGCAATAGCTACTTGTAATGATTATGTATTTAATACCTGAAGGTGCTTTCCCCTTCACTGTTTGTATATGTATATGCAAGACGCCTTTTATTACGTTTTCTATGTCTCTGCCCAGTAATATTATGTAGCATTTTTTTGAACAAATAAATTTTTTCTATATTTGCATGTTTTGTGTTTATTTAAATGATCTTTTGGTTCCAAAACAAGATTTTAGTTCCATGTTAAAGGAAATTATTACATAAAGAATTGTTTTTGACTGTTGGCAAAATATCTCTTTGATGTACGTCTACAACTAATAACTGTTGGAAGACTGCCAGATTCAAGATGGCCGCCACAGCTAACGGACCTTAAAAATCAAAAATGGCTACAGCCGAGTCAATTTTACAGATGGTGACCTAAAATGTGTAGTAGCTGAGATTGATCCCCAACTAATATTTTAAGTGTTAATAGATTGTGTTAGATCTTTGTAAATCATGTTAGTAAAATATCTAATGAACCACTGGGTTGATTGTAATGACATTTTTCAAATATTTATTGGGTGGACATCTACCACTAAAGCTAGCCCATTTCAAGATGGCCACCACAGCCAGCTGGCTAAACAATAGTTCAAATGTTACCAGTTTACAAGATCTTGAGCTAAAATTTAACGTGGAAGCAGCGGAGAGTGACGAGGGTCAGTCGATGTGTAATCAGAATACTTTATCCTTGCACCCAAGCACAGCGAGTTATGTTCCGTACAGTTGTCTGAAAGATGGGCGGAGTGCACGTGGCTGCAGCTCCTACGAGCGCAGCCCTAGACGAGGGGGAAGACCACGAGGAAAGGATAGTGGTACTGAAAAAAAAGGTATCTTCTCACCTTGTCAGGACACGATTTAAGAGATCAACAAACTACGAGCAAGAACTTTTATAGACACATTATACGCATTTGATGACAAGACGGTGAGATTTGTCCATGAAGCACTTCTAGACAGAGCCATAGTCCTGAAAAGATGTTGGTGTTAGACTGTACAGCTCTGGTAAGTGTTCACAGAAGTTCTTGGAGGAGGGTTGTGCGAGGGATGGATAGAGCAGAGCCTTCTTGGTTTACACACATCCCAGAAGAAATGTGAGAAGTCGGCCTGCTTCAAGGCCAAACAGGGAAGTCAGATTCAGATAAGCCACAGTTGTTTTTGTTCAGGCAGACTGTTATTTCTCGTCAGCCTTGAGTTCTGGTACTTTCAATATAAAAAATAATCAGGTTTGTGGGCTTTCTGGCTTCCTCAAAGGTCATCTCCAACATGCTGGCAAGTTCCAGAAGCCGCAACTGGTCTACGATTCTCATAAATCGCTTCCGTCTTACGGTTGAGCTCGTAAATGAGCTGAGTCTGAGCGCTCGAAGTACGAACCAATCCTTCACATTGGGTCGGCAGCTTTGGCATGGCCGAAAGTGCCGCCGCCATCTTCCTTAATAGCCGATAACCGTTAACACCGTTGCTTTAATTGTTGGAGCTAACCCCGTTTGTAAACAAAAGGAACTTAGGATCTTGGAAAAGATCCTCCAACAATCCTTCCCCAAGTTCCCGTTAAGTTTTAGAGAAAAATATTTAGCACCTGGTGAAAAACAAACAACAAGAAGCTCCTACAGTTTGATAAGAAAGCGTTTATTTAATGGCAGATAAAATGATAATGCTAATTTGCATTTCTGGATTCAAATCAATGAAATAACAGTTCCTGTCCCATGAAGGTCTTCAGAGGCAGGTTTTGGTCGGAGGCCTGGTTCACTACATTATTAACAGAACCTAATGATGCAAACGTTGTCTGTATTCTTTTGAGGTGACAATCTCATGAAGACAAATTTCCACAGTAGCAGAAAGGCTAGGTGAGGGTTTGTTATTAAGCTATGATTGCCAACAACACAGACCTTCATCAGCTAAGACTTCATCATGAAGCGATAAAATCATCAGTCTTGGTGGAATAACTTGAGGTATATAACAGTGAAATGACCCGACAGACGATACAGCTTTGAAACAAATCATGAATCACATGTTTTGGTGAAGTGCCACCCCAGAGGTCGGGGTAAGAAAAACTCTGGCACAGATGTTGAGTGAAGGAACACTTCCAGTGAAAGATCTCTTTATGCCACCCGGGGTCATACGTGACCTCTCAGGCGTCACAGATCAACTCGGCGTGGCGTGATGGTGAGAGCTGCAGCCGGCTCCTGAACTGTAATGTTTGAGTTCGTCCTCACAGAGGTGTTAAACCACCACTCGGACCTGTAACGACTGACCCGGAGGTAAAAGGCTCATCATACATATTGTTTCTTCTGCGCGTGTGACGCCAGGTCTTTAGCTTTCTCTTTAGCTGCCAGTGCCGTCTCTCTCGCCCGCTCCGAAGCCGTTTCAGCCAAGGTCCTCGATGGAGTTTCACCTACAAACACAACATTCAGTTCTAATGATCCGTCTTCGTTTGGCTCAGGAAAACAAGTCCACATTAGATTTAGTTTTGGAAGAGAAGCCGTTTGAGCTCTTTATTAGCTGTGCTGACATTTCCTTCGTATAAAAAAACCAACATTTAATCTAAATTGTTGCAGGGCTTTTAACACCATATATAAATAAAACGACAAACAAAAGCATCATAGTAGGGCAATATGTGAAAAGGTTAAGAACGAGGAATACTTTTTTCTTTTTAAAGGTGCTGAATATAAAGACTAATGCTTCTGTTTGATGTGTTCGTCCACTGCAACACATTTTACTGCAGCGATTTCTGCTCAACTTAAAGCTTCAAATCAAAGTTGAACATCTGAAAATCATGTTTTTCTTCTTCTCGTTTTTAATCGTGTGAATGTTTATGAAGCATTCACACTGTTGTGATCCATTTTTCTTCCGTACGGTTTTTGATGCGATTCTTGTCCCACAGTTTTCAGCTATTTCAACAAATCATAAATCAAAACGTTCAGCTCATTCAGGACAATCCTGCTATGACTTTTGGTGTTGGTGCAACTTTAGCTTTTTTGAAATATTTAGCCTTTTCAGACATTTTTTTTTCTCAAAGAAAAATAATTTCAGCTTGTTATGCTCCTTCCAGCTTATTTCTACGTTTCAGCTTTTTCTACCATTTCAGCTACTATATAACTGGGGTTTTTTGGGGGTAATTTTAGCCTTTTCAGATCATTTCACATTTTTTGCCCTCATTTCAACATTTTCAGCCTGATTTAGCACAAATATGCTCTCTCCAATTCCTTTTTGTAATTTGTTTATGCTTTTTTAACTACTTTTCAGCTTTATTTTTTCTAATTTCAGCTTTTTTCAGATAATTTCCACTTTTTTAATGCTCATTTCTGCTTCTTTCAGCAAAGGTGTTCTTTCCATTTTCTTCTAATTTCAGCTTGTTCTAACATCTCAGCTTCTTTTTTTTTAGCATTTAACTAATTTCAGCTGTTTTCGGATAAATTCAAAATTTTCGTTGCGATTTTGCTACTTTCAGCCTAATTAACTTCTTTCTGCTAATTTCAGCTCATGCTAGTTTCAGCTTTTTCTACCATTCCAGCTACTATAAAACTGTTTTTTTTTTTGTTGTTGCTAATTTTTGCTTTTTCAGCTTTTCCACATTTTTTCTCAATTCATTTCAGCTCCTTTCACTTTCTTTTGTTAGTTTATGCTTCATTCTATCTTTTCAGCTACTTTTCAGCTTTTTTCCTTTTTTTAATTTTTACAAATTTCAGCTTTTTTTTTTAGCTAATTTCCTAATTTTTGTGATCATTTCTGTCTGTTTAAACCTCATTCAGCGAATATGTTTTTCTGCTTTTTTCTGCCAACTTTGATTTGTTCTTCCATTTCAGCTGTTTTTCAGCAAGTTCTTCAGTAATGAGCATTCTCACTGCATTTTCACAGAAAATGCAATTCCTCTAGTTAATCCAACATTTTTGAAAAATGTTGGATTGTATACCTGGATTATTGAGCATGGACTTTGTTCCTCTAGTTAATATTTTGACTTGCTACATTAGGAAATGCTCAAACAACAAACTGTGTACTGTAAACAGAATATTTAGGCTATAACAGAAATACAAAGTTTTATTAACGTTTAACGACCTTTTCCTTCCCATCAACTTGAACTGGAACTCCAGAGAAACTCACTGAAGTTGGTCCATGATAACTCACCTTGCATTTTGGCGAGCACGTACTCAAAGCCTTTCATGGTCTTTGTGACGCTCGTTTTGAACCTCGCCAGACCAAATTCCTGAAAACAAAGTCATGACAACACGTAAATCGCTTCTTTGTACATTCGCTGTCCGAGTTGGACATCAGCGAAGAACTCGGAGCTCCGAACATCACAGAATGAAAGACGGCCGGGTGGATCTCTTATTCTGAAAACCAAAGCGTTTCCTCTGAGATGTTTGGCTCTGCTCTCTTTTTCACTCACCTGAATAGCTCTAGAAAGCCCACAGACCCCGGAGGAGATCCGGGCTTCTCTCGTGATCTCCGTCCAGCAGCCGTTCTCGGGGTTTATTTGGTACCGACAGTGCTCCTCTACAGACTGGGAGCACAAAACAAAAGCAACGTGAGAATGTATGTTTAGTTTGAGCAAAGCCGAGAGCTGGTGGGTGAAAACACGCAGGTACCATGAGGCGAGCGTGGCTGATGTTCCACGTCAGTGTGGTCATGGTCCGTTTCTGAGGGTCCACAATGGAGTCCTCAATGACGTACGCCGAGCTGGCCATGTGCTTGGGAAGATACCGCTCCATCCATCGAGGCGCGCGGCTGGTTTTGGTCAACAGACGTCTGGAAACGAGGCAGTTGTTGGGGGTAACCTCTCGGAAAACAATATCCTCCGTCAACACGTGGTTACTGAGAGCGGAGGGAGACAATCAGGTAAACCATTGCTTTTCCTGGAAACGACCGTTTAAATTCAGAGACATTAAACTCCCACTTTTAAAAAAGTGAATCTTTCAACAACAACAAAAAAGTAAATAATCTGATTAAATATAAACGTGTTTTACAGCAGATTAATAAAATATAAAACTTTACCATGATTATAATAGAAAAAAAAAGTTAAATAGTGAAATTGACCCGTTCACAGTGATGGTTTGGGATAAAGCGTCAAAGACAAATGATGAATTCACACTAAATAAATTATAAAGACAGCGGTGCCTAAATTAATAAATTAAGACGGATTTTCAAAGAACAAAAGTATTTTTTCAATATGACAATGGAAAATGTTATTCATAAACAAGTGTAACACCATGACATCACTGTTTTTCCATTGGATACATTTGTCCAAAAAAAACAAACATTCTTTCTCGCTCCCATTAGTTTCATCTTCTTCACAGTTTTGGGTCTTTTGTGTCGTAAAACAGTAAATGTTTGAGGTTGTTGACAGTCTGTGTGACAGAACTGCAGATAAACTCTTCAGTTACAGAATCACACAGTTGAGATGTGTGCAGATGGATTATAATCCAGCTGAAATGAGGACAGACTTTGTCTGGACGGTAACATATGCTGCTCCAAAGCTTGTTTGTGCTCTTCAGTGCTGAAGGTGTGTAAGCTTTATGGCTCCTCTCTTATCACAAGGGTGTAGTCTCTTTGTTCATAAAATGCTTCCAAATAATCTAGTTAACCCTAAAAGAGCCCATTATTTGAACCTTTAAATGAACTAAATGTTTTTGTTGTGTGTTCAGTCCAACACCTTGCCTTTGTGAGCGTGTCACATCCTGCAGTGATTCTCACTCTTTGTTCTTTTGCAGAATGGTTTAGAAAAATCAAAGCATCATAAATAACATCTTCAAAATTAGTTTAAAGTATATTGTTACGAAACGTTGATGTATTGGTCGGTCACAGTTGTGATCTCACTCTCCTTTTCATTCTTCAAAGATAGTTTTGGTATCAAACTGTGCGACTGTGCTGCACACCAAGAGGTGTTCTTGGAGCAATTATACAACTTTCTCAGAATTTTAATTGCACCCGTCTCTTTTCTTTAGACACAGGCCTCAAGTTCAAGGCTTCATTTAAGATGTAGTCATGTCAGTTTTTACTTTTACACATTACCTTGCTGATAAAATAAATTTAAAAACGTATATTAAATCCATTTGTTTTCATATTCAACAGCAAGGCAAGTTTGTGGAGGGAAAAAAGAGTTGTGCTCTCTGTTCATTCAGGATTGGATTTAAAGTTTTATGGGTGCCTTACTCTTATGTTTTTGTCTGACCTGATGGTCCCTCTTAATTAATTTACTTTTCGTCGTCCTGAGGTCCAGGCTGGTACACAGACATGATCGGGCTCTCTGCAGGTGAACCTCCGAACTGTGGCACAAACCGCCTCTGTACATCAGACCAGCTCCGACTCTCAATGCTTTGAAATCTCATTTCAAATCACTTCTTTACCGTTATATCCTTATTATTTCATGTACAGCACTTTGGCCAGCGGTGGATGTTTTTATTTGGGCTTTATGTGCAGAAGAGTACATCCTATCGACTGCAGCTTCAAAAGATTAGCAGATAAACCCAGAGAGGTGCTTGCTCTCACCTGTAAGGATTGGGATAACGCTGCCAGAAGGCTGTGCAAACTTGGTCCCAGGTGTTTTTTAACACACCTGTGCAGCAAAAATGTTTCACCATTGTTCCCTTGGTTTACTCTGGCAGCTCCCTGAAACTGCAGAACAAAGAAAACGTGATGGTTTATCAGACAGGAAGTTAAGAGATAAACTAGTATGAAAGCAAACTAACCATTCAGTCAGCATTTCTTAGTTTATTTTCTTATAAATACCAGCTGGAAAGACTGGCAGCTCTACTGTCTGCCTAAGACTACAAGCACTGACACAAAACTATCCCAATAAGAGCAGTTTACCACCTGACAGGACCTTTGAGTCACATTTGTCACGTACACGCAGCTAGCTTCCTGGTTAGCATGAGGCTAATCTATGAATGAAAGAGACGCTGCGCCAAAGACGTTTCTCAACAAATATCAGTAAAAAACAGACGGTTCCGTTCAAAAGCCTAGAAAACGTACCTGGAGATTAACATTGGCTCTTCATGCTGCTGTCAGGCTAAAATTCATAGTCCTTGTTTCCCATGTCAAACGTGACTGCGAGCAGAAAAGGAAGGTCAAACGTTGACGTCACATCCGGGAGAAAGTGGGGGTGCAACGCGAGCTGTGAACTCTAGAGGGCAGCAGCGAGCTGTGCAAAAACACTGGTACTCTATCCAAGAGTTTGTTCTTTTTTTGTGGTTCGTTGTGTTAATTAAATAAGTTTATCTTTAATTCCGTAACTTTATCAAAGACATAGCAAAACTATGGTTATTCTAACATAACGTAGTTATGCAGTTAGTATGTTATGTATTTTTAGAGGCGAAAGACGTATAGAAGAAGATTCCTCTAATAGGTTTAATGATTTGAGTTTATGACTTCACTGCTGGTTGTTCTGATAAAAGCTTAAAGCTTCCATTACAATTGAAAGTTTATGAAGGAACATATCAGCAATGTAGGTGTAAAAATATGCATAAACAATATGGGTATTCTCTTTCGCTAATGATGAATGAAATTGCGTAGGCTGCACTTGACATGGTGCTAATTAAATGCTAAAATGAATTTACTTGACCCACTGAAATCTACAGAGTCGTCTACACTTCTCTTTGCTGATGCGCTGTCAGGTTCTGAGAGGTATTTATTTTCTGCATTCAGCAGGAACATGCGTCAAAGTACAGAAAAAAAAAACATTTTGTTGTATCCCTTGTCAACTGAGGTGTGAAATGTATGACACTTCTGCGCAAACAGAAGCCAAGATCTCTTTATTTGACATCAAGGTACAAAGTACGATTTATCCCAATGGACACTTTAGATTTGGTGTTTATGACTGAAAGTTAGGGTTCAACATTCACGCCTAGAGTTCTTGAGGTTGATCAATGTCCCTGTATTTATCATAGACTTTCGTCATAGGAGACATTAGCAGCAGTCTAATGAAGTCCCTGTTCCATTCACATCTCCTCATATGAGTTTCTGTAACAAAGATGTCAGCAGCCGGTTGCCCTCATGTTGCACAGGTCACTGGCTTTCAGTCCCATTCCTGTGGATATAGAATCCTGCTGGTCCAGCAAATCTGAAACAGCTGGTTGCCAGGAGATGACAATTAACTTCCTGTTTATACAGCAAATTAGTGATGGCACCCTTTGGGTTTCTTGGAAAGGGATTGTATGTTACTCTGCTAGAACACTGTCATTATTCCAAATGACAGAATTTGGATGAATGAGATGACAGGTATCCAAAATGTTTTGAAACCGTCTTCAGCGAAGAAAAAAACAGTTACTTCTTCTTGTGTAAGCTATGACGGACATTATTTGATACAAGAATTGTGCTTTAAAATGACATAAATACATATTTGAACAGGTTTGTTTACATTTACAAATGAACAACGAGCCTTACGTAAAGCGATTAGCATGCAAACCGTTGGGCTCAAAGTCAGTCCGTTCAAGTCGAAAGGCTACTTCAGAACCACACGCTCCTTAAAGCAGAGGTGTGTCTAATGCGCTCATCATCTTCAGGCTTGGGGAAAGCCTCACACGGCGGTGGGAGGGTGTCCTCCGTTACGACCGTTCAGAGTCAGACCTCTAATGGAACGCGTCCTGAAAGAGCCCTCCGGGTGGAAAGAGTCGGGCTTGTCCTCGCAGCGGAAGACCATCAGGAACCCATTCCTGTAGTTCTTATTCATCCACCCATACAGGAGAGGGTTGGCGAACGTCGAGCACATGGCCACGATGTGGAACAGCGTGTATATAAGTTTGTACTCCTTGAACCTGAGCACCAGGTCCAGATCACTGGCCAGCTGGAACATGTGAAAAGGCAGCCAGCAGGTTGCAAACACCACCACCACCAGCGCCAACATCTTGGTGGTCTTTTTGCGTCGGTTGATGCTATCGTTGCGGCTGGATGGGCTGATGTGGTTCTTCAGCTTGACCCAGATGCATATGTAGGCGTAGCTGATGATGGCTAAAGGAATGATGTACTGCAGCAGAAGCATCGACAGGCTGTAGATGAATCCGTCCCTGCTGGTGCCGTGGGGCCACTTCTCGGAGCACACTGCGATGCGCAGGTTGATCGAAGGGATCTCCTCATTGCGGTACTCTCTGAAGATGGCCAGCGGAGCGGCCAGGACGGCAGACGCCGTCCAAGTGAAGGCCATGATGAGGAAGCTGGAACGCCATGTCAGCCGCTGGCCCAGGTGGAAAACGATACAGCGGTAACGCTCCAGAGCGATGACGGTCAGGGTCAGGATGGACACGTGGACGCTCAGGGCCTGAGCAAAGGGGACCATGTGGCACAGCACATACCCGAACTTCCACTCATCCAGCAGGGTGTAGACCAGAGTGAAGGGCAGGCAGAGCGTATTGACCAGAAGGTCAGCCAGGGCCAGGTTAGCTATGAAGAAGTTGGTCACCGTCCGCATGTTCCGGTAACGAACAATCATGTAGATCACAAGGGAATTACCCAGCAGCCCCAGCAGGATGATCAGGGAATAAGCTGTTATCAGGGTGATCTGGACTCCGAGGTGCTTGGTGATGTCCGAGTGGAAACCAGGCGTGCCGACGCTGTCGTTAAGCAGAAGCGAGGGATCCGTTTCACCGGCCTCCCTTTCTCCTGTGCCGTTGGATGTGTCGGGTGGGCTCATCTTACTGGAAGACGCAACTAACACCTGAGTTAAAAAAAGAAAAAAAGGGACAAAATAGAACAGCTCTTTGAGACAAGCTACACATTATGTCACCTCAAACGATGAAAAATGACAATGTGAGCAAAACACTGCAGCTTGGGGAGGGAATTTTCCCGGACGTCAGCAGTTGCAGGATCCTAACCCGTCACCTGATTCTTTAGAGGACTGCAACACCAGGCAAGCCTTCACCTCCAAACAAACACCCCACCTGGAGTACTGAGTGCAGCCGAGAGAACTTGACTGCAACCCCCCCCCCCCCCCCAGAGGCATCACAGCAGGGCTCTGAACCCTGAATCTCTTCTGCATGTGGGTTTGTGACCCCCTTTTCCAAAAGCCACAGAAATGAATCCATCTGCCTGAACAAAGCCCAACAACAGTGGGGAGACGTATTTAAAAATCACATTATTTGTCTTCATCATAGTTTCCTTTTCATCTCGATAGCTTTTCACGAAACATATAATAAAACAAATTATCTACCAGGAAGGAGCGTACAGCTTGTGGCGCAAATATCCCTGTCATAAAGCCACCCAGCTCACGAGTAATAATCCAGAAGATAAGATGATTCATTAATGCACGCAGCCTAATCATTCAGACAATTGTCTATGATTGCGTAGAGGAAGGCGGTGTGCTGAATGGCTGACACAGGTCGCAGCAGCAGACGGTAACTGAAAGAAAAATCAAGTCTTTTTTTTTCTGCAGCTTGTTCCAAATCCAACAAAACACCGTTACCTGCAGCTGTAAGCCTTTACCAGTCGGTCTGTCTACAGCGTGTGGTTTTAAGGAACACCTGTGTCTTTAGGAAGGCTCAAGTGAACTGGTGGTGGGAGCGAGGGGGTGAGCGAGTTCAAAGCCAGATCATTAGAGCTGCTGGGCGGTCGCCTACACAGCCTGCAACTCATAAAAAGAAAAATGTGGGTCTGTTATTACCGTAAGCGTTAGGGTGAACAGAAATGCAGCTTTTTACTATTTTGTCAGTCCTGCTGATTAACGAGAGCACCGAAGAGCTGCTGCTGCCGAGACCGAGTGCTGTCCAAACACCACTGCTGGGGTGGCGTAATGAAGCTTAGACCCAGCACATCCGTCCTAATGGTTTTATTTTTTTATTACTGCCCGTCGCTATGGAAGACACTCATGCAACTGCGTGTGTTTGTCTGTTAGCAAAATGTCTAATGAACCACTGCACAGATTTTGATGGAACGCTCGGGGCGTAATCATCAGATGAACACCTGATTACTTCTGTGAGCCGCTACATTTCAAGATGGACGCCCTTGCCAAACACAAAAAGCACTTCAACGTGGTAGTAGTTAGTCGTAGTAGTAGTTACCACTTAGGTAGTTACTATGTAGTCACTGTAATGCAACTTTAATTGCGGATATGTGACTTATCTGTGCTGCTGATCTCATGCTGCTGATTAGCTCATGCTGCTATATTCATTCATACCCATCTGCTCACTACAGACTCATGTTCGGGCTGCTGTTTAATACATCATATTATTTTACATTATTAATGTTTAGCGTATATCTTAGCTCTTTTAGCGTATCGTTTAGCGTTTGTTTAGTGTACATCTTAGATCCTTATATACTGGTTTTTTTTATACTTTATATTTTTGTTATTTTTTGGGTGTAACTGTGACCCTGAGTACATAATTTTGTTCCACCTCATGTACCACATGTGATGCAAATGACAATAAAGAACCTTGAACTTGTTGATAGCCGTTCCCAACACACCACTCTGTCTGTTAGCAAAATATATCTTGAACCAGAGGACACATTTTAGTGATTTTTTTTTCTGAAAGTAACCGTAAGATGTACATCTGCAACTGATTAGCTTTTGTTATGAACCTGGTTCAAGATGCTGCCACAGCTAATCAGTCTTAGAGTTCACACAAAATGTCATAACCCACTCGGTTTTACAGCTATTGCGCTAAAGTTTGCTATGGTAGTAGTATTTAGTAGTCATCCTTATCACTCATCTTTTTTTCCTTCTTGCTCTCGTTGATGGCGGACGCTTTTCCCTCCTGCTTCTTCCCCTGCTTCTGCTCTTTGTCCTGTGAACCTTTCAGAGCCTCTCTTTACATATCTTCCAAATTGTAGATTATAGATCTGGTCAGCTGGTCTCTCAACGCAATTAATCAAATTTTCTTGATGAGAAGACAGGGTGAAGGAGCGCCCTCCTGCCCCGACAGGACACTTGCTGCCGGATACACGATGGATTCCTGGGGTCAGTGGAAGATCGTGTGTCTGTCCATATTGTCCATTGAGGTTGTAGAAGATGCGTACATAATTGGATTAATGATAACAGGATTTCTGCTCTTTGGAGTTGGTGGTCACCTGGCACATAGACAAATTCGACAAACGTCAGCAGCTGTTCTGGCCATTGTGAATCTGCCCGGCCTGTGTGAAGGAATGTGCCGTGTGGCGAGCACTCAGACTCAGCTGCTGTGTGAGCTGAGCCGTAAGCTGGACGTGGTTTCTGCTGAGAATCGCAGGCTACTTGCGGCTCCTGAATCTTGCTGGCGGGAAGGAATTGACCTTGGATAAGTTACAAGCTCGGCCCGGTGGTACCGACCACCAAAATTTGGTTGTTTGGCGTCGCCATTGAGATGTACCAGTGAGACTGTCAGGCAGATGGAAATTAACGGAGTCGACCTGACCCAAAACAACTGTTGTTATCTGAATCTGGCTCCCCCGTGTCGACCTTGGAAGGTTGATTATCTCAAATTCTCCTGGATGTTACGTGAACAAGATGCTCTGCTCCTACTACCCGTTCCTTTCCCCAAGGACATCTGTGTACCTGTGTCAGAGCTCTACTGAGGCCAGCTGATAAACGCATCATCACTTATCATGAACTATGGCTGGGGGTGCTATCTGGAACAGTGTCCACAAGCTTACTTACAAACGTGCACACACATACACTCATTCACACTCCCCTCAACTCACTGCCTTCGCTGGCCTCCCTCCTGTTGCCCCTCCGGTGTGGTAACCTAGGTTGAATACGAGGCATCAGATGGCTGCGACGCTCTCTTGGGCAGCCTGTGCTGTCTTGCGGTGTTTCTAGTGTAAAATACGTCTACACAGCGAACACGTTATGATGAAAAGTTGGGTAGCTGTTAGCCACAGCTGCTCAGTCCTCACATATTTACTCACGTTATAACTGGCTGCAAACTATGAAATGGATTTCCTGAATGCGAGGCGGGTCTTATTACTCTGGGTTTCATGAGACACGCCTCTGTTCAGGAAATCCATTCCGTAGTTTGAAACCAACTCGCAGAGCAGCTGACAGGGAATCACATGTGGAGAAGTTTCAGCAGACACAGACATGCTTCATGGATCGGAAAAATCCGATACGTAAATTCTGCTGGTATCGGAGGCTGATAACGATACCGGATCGGCCCCATCCCTAGTCTTATTATGTCATCTGTATGTTGCTTTTTTTTGTGCTGAGGTTTTTTTCTCACACTGTGTCTTGTTAGGGACACAGTGTGAGTTATGTTGTTTTTCGTTTTTTTTAACCTCCTCTTTCCTTGTGTTCCCTTTTCCTTAACTAACGGAAAGGCAGCGCCTCTCATGAGGCTGCAGCCTCAGGCACCCCGTCTACCCATGTTTATGTTGTTTGGTTGTTTGTGTTTCTATGGACGGCTGTACTGAAATGAAATTTTGTTGTGTTTCTGCGCAATGACAATTAAGCTGATTCTGATCACACACTGCTAATAGATGCTTGTTTTTAATCAATTAGCAATTTAAAAGTCACGCGCACTCTGGTTGTAAAGCTTTTACTCAAAGGAATACTGTACTGTAGATGGATTTGTGCTTACAGAACACATTCATCACGTTGTTTTTGCCTCATTCATGAAGTTGTCTTTTCCTCAGATAATTCAGCGAGATGATTTCTCCTTGCTGATTCTCTGATCGCTTCAGGGATCCAGCCTGCAAACCTCTGCTGCCGTTCCTCCCGTTGACTTCCTGCTCACTGTCATTTTTGAAGCAGCGATGCAGATTTTCTGGTTCCAGCGAACTGAAACATCATGAATTTAAAAACATCTGTGTGACGTCCCTCTAAATTGCTGCAATTTAGAACTAAAAATTCAAAACTCACACACGTTGCTCCTTACATCATCATGACTCACAGAATTAAAAGCCTAGCGTTCCTTGAAGGAATGGATTTTAAGGTTTAGACTAAAACCTTGTAAATAAAATGACTATCTCATGCAACAAGATCTTAACAGAATGAGTTGAGGATAACGCTCAGCTAAACTTTACCTGAATATCTGTGCAATGAGCTACAGCCAATTTTGTGTTGGCTAAGTTTGATTAGCTGCTGTGGCCATATTAAACTTAACTGACTCTGAAAGTGAATCACTTGTAGCTGTGCATCCACTGATTCGTTTCTGTGAGTTTCATTTAATTTCATCAAGCGGTTCATGAAATATTTTGCTAACAGACAAATAGCGCTAACATTAAAAGTTAGTGGCAAAGAATTAAGCAAAGTTGTGTACAGTAATGTGTTGTGCTTGGACTGTGTGCTGTGAATGACTCTCAAGCACTACCACACCAACTGTTAGCTAAATATCTATAAAAATTTCTTATTTATATAAATGTTTGTGTTTTCTAAGGTCAGTTGCTGCAGCAGCCATCTTGAACTGGGTTGACTCCAAAGTGTGATCAGGTTTTGATGCCCATCCAACTATGACTTTATGAGTTTAATTTAAATCTGTCCAATGGTTCGAGATATTTTGCTAACACGGCGGACAAACGCACACGCGCAAACATCGCCATTAATGGGGATAGAGGGAGTAAAGAAATCAAGTAAAAAACATCCTTTTTCTTTGGAGCTGAACACCCCCAGCCCGGGTTTTATTTTATCAACCCCCTTCTCCGCATGCTGTCGCCCCATGATGGGCACATCCACTCCAAATCAATTACGCATTGATGCGTAATTTGTGGCAATTTGCTCAACTTTCTCACAGGTGCTCCTTTAAATGCCTCTAACTGCGCACTCAGTTATTCCCTTCATTTTCTTCATCTATCACCCTGACCTGACAAGAATTCGCCCTCTGAGAAGGAGAAGGCGTTACATGTAACGACAGCACAGAATGACAGATTTGATCCTCGAGGATGATAAAAATCCGCGTTCTTCCCATCTGAGAGAAGCGCGCGTGAACGGACTCACCTTTCGCCGCCTTCTCTACTTTGGAGAGCGGGTCTTGACTCCTGAGCGGCGCGGAACAAGTGGGGAGAAGTGGCGAAGCTCCTCCCAGCGCGGGGTGCGCATCGTGCGTCTCCGGCTGCGCGTCCGGCGCCCGCAAGTGAGTCCTCCGCTGCAGGTCTGCGCCACCCTGCGCGCGGTCAGGGGGGTGAGTCCTCCGCTGCAGGTCTGCGCCACCCTGCGCGCGGTCAGGGGGGTGAGTCCTCCGCTGCAGGTCTGCGCCACCCTGCGCGCGGTCAGGGGGGTGAGTCGGTCTGGTGCTTCTTCACTATCGCCCGCGATACTGACGCGAAAGGGGCAATGATGTAGCTTATTATTATTATTATCATTATTATTATGTCTGCGTGTGCGTGTTCGTATTACCAAAATTTGTCACGAACCACTGAACAGATCTTCATGAAATTCCCAGAAAGTCATCATTGGAGGTTCAGCTATAAGTGATGAACTTCTGGAGTCAACACAGCTGAAGGCGGCTGAACCAATCTAAGCAAACACAAACATAGCTACAGCTGTGTGTGGTGGTAGCTGAGAGTCATCCACAGCACATTTGAGTTGAGCGCCGTTTTGTTACGCAAAGTCTGTTTGAAACTTAGCCCCGAAATATCAGTGAACTTGGTTTGTCTGTTAGCAAAATATCTCAAGAACCACGGGACAGATGTGGAATAATTTCTAAGAGAGTAAACACTGAATACATAAAAACAGCTGGTTGTCTTGGAGTGTCAGTTAGATTCAAGCTGGCAGCTGCAGCTAACTAACCTCAGCCAACACAAACATGACTATAACTTAGATACAATTACTGATATTGACATAAAGTTTGTCATGGTTATATTGTTGGTTATTTGTCATATGCAGGTTAACACAACTTGAACAATCCAATGAAATGTTCAGGATGAGAAGAACCTATCTCTAAAAACAAACAAACCAAAAAAAAAGGACAAGAAATACTAATATGCACTAAGGGTACAAATTAAAGTACCAAAAAGTGAAAAAGAAATATAATATTTACAAGGTCCAAGAGAAACCATAACAAAATGGTAGAATGTAATGGTGCAAGTAGGATGAATTAATATAAATGAGTATTTCACAGGTAATATTGCTTAAATGCACATGATAGATATTGCACATAACTAACATATACTACACAGGTGTGACAGGTAATTACACAGGTAGTAACATTGAGATGAAGTGAATTATGATGGTAGTGACATAAATGATACATCCACGTAGTGCAGCAGTAGTAAACATATTAGCTGTCACAGATGTGGCTTAGTGCAATGTTATTGTCAGTAGTTCAGTATTATAATCAAGAGTTCAATAATCTGACAGCTTGTGGATAATAACTGTCTCTGAGTCTTTTTGTACGCGATGGCAGACTCCTGTATCGTCTGCCTGAGGGTAGTAGATGGAAGAATCCTTGTGCTGGGTGGTGTGGTCCTTAATGATGCTGCATGCTTTACGCAGACACCGGCTGTGGTAGATGTCCTGGATGGTGTGGAGACTGCTACCAGTGATGTCCTCTGCTGTTTGCACCACCCTCTGTAGAGCTTTCTGACTGGTGCAGTTCCCATACCACCCTGTGATGCAGCCTGTCAGCAGACTCTCCATGGTGCACCTGTAAAAGTCCATGAGGATGCTGGTGTTCAAACCATGGTAGTAGCTGAAGGTCATCCTAAACACACACTAAGAGCACTTCCTGATTTCTGAAGATTTTGCAACATCTTGTGAGGCTGTACTGCAGAACCAAAACAGCTCTGTTCTCTGTCATTTATTTAGCACTAACAGATTTGACGAGCTCTCACGATATCTCATGCTCAGACTTTTTCCAAGGCTACAAGTCCATTATTTCTCAACATAAGATTAAAAAAAACTCTGGTGTAGAAGGCGACAGGCAATATGCATTCCTTTAAAGATTGCCAGGCTTTTCATTTCAACAGCTTGTTAAAACAGAAACACTTTGTATCACATAATGACTATGGTGGTACACTTTAACGTGCACTTCAGGAACAACATTCAACAGGTCCCAGAAAGTTCCCACGACTGAACTCATTGTTTCAACAGTATCTTCAGACATTTTGACCAGTGGAGGCTCAAAAATATGGCCATGTGGGGGCCACTAAAAACCTGCTGACACACCAAAACCAAAAGCCAGAAGAGAACTTCAGAAGATTTGTTTTGTTGTACTGGTTATCCAACAAGACCACAGTTATGGGATGAATCTGTTTGGCTGAGGGGGGCAGTAGGAGACCACTATTTTTTTTAGAGATGGCCATTACGCCACTTCTTTGAGGCTTACTTTCTGCTTTGCTTTTCTGTCTGTTTTTAGAGTGTGTCAGGTAGGGAGTGAGACACATGTATGTTGTATCAACTTTCACATTTCTGTTGATGTTGGTTCTTTTGTCTCTTCAAACATCAAAACATTTGTATTTTGTCATCTTAGATTCATATAAAACATTGTCCATTAACTAGAAAAACTGTATTTTCTTCAAAAATTTAGTTTGAACGCAGAAGACTGAATAATGACATAGTTGAAATTTGCCATAAAACTGAAATAAAATGCAAAATGCTCACTAAAAGTAGCCAAACAGGTGCTAAAAGTCATTAAAACCTAAATGCAATAAAAGTTGGCTAAAAGTAAAGAAGCAAAAAGCTAGCTAAAAGCTATTTGTAGCATATGCTCGCTAAAGAAGCAAAATGCTAACTAAAAGTAAAGCAGCAAAAGAAAGAAGCAAAAGGCTAAAAGTATTAAAAGGCTTATTAAAAGTAAAGCAGCAAAAATGTAGTTATTTGTAGCACTTCCTAGCTAAAAGGAAAGAAAAAAAAGGCTAACTAAAAGTAAAGCAGCAAAAAGCTAGATAAAATGTATTTGTAGCAAATGCTAGCTATCAAAAGGCTAGCTAAAAGTAAAGCAGCAAAAAGATAGCTAAAAGCCATTTGTAGCAAATTCTTGCTAAAGGAAAGAATTAAAAGGCTAACTAAAAGAATTAAAAGGCTAACTAAAAGA